GTGACTCACCACCCTCTGAGTGAAAAATTTCATCCTTATATCTAATTGAAATCTCCCCTCTTTCAGTTTAAAGCCATTGCCCCTTGTCCTATCACTACAGACTCTTGTAAAAAGTCCCTCTCCAGCTTTCTTGTAGCCCCTTTAGGTACAAGAAGCATACCCTTTGGAAGGCTGCTAGAAGGTCTCCCCGGAGCCTTCTCTTCTCCAGGCTGAACAACTCCAGCGCTCTCAGCCTGTCTCCATAGCAGAGGTGTTCCAGCTGTGTGATCATTTTTGTGGCCCTCCTCTTCTGGAGCCATTTCAACACCTCCATGTCCTTCTTGTGCTGGGGACTCCAGAGCTGAGCGCAGTACTCCAGGTGGGATCTCAGGAGATCAGAGCAGAGGGGCAGGATCCCCTCCCTTGACCTGCTGCCCACGCTGCTTTGGATGCAGCCCAGGACACGGTTGGCTTTCTGGGCTGCCAGCGCACGGTGCTGGCTCATGTTGAGCTTCTCATCAGCCAACACTCCCAAGTCCTTTTCCTCAGGGCTGCTCTCAACCCATTCTCCGCCCAGCCTGTACTTGTGCTTGGGATTGCCCCAACCCATGTGCAGGACCTTGCACTTGATCCTGTTGAACTTCTTGAGGTTCAGACAGGCCCACCTCTCCAGCCTGCCAAGGTCCCTCTGGATGGCATCCCTTCCCTCTTGCATGTTGACCACACCACACAGCTTGGTGTCGTGTTAAAAGTTATATCTGCAAAGTGATTTTCAAGTAGTTTGCTCCTTTTAAAGATAATTCAATTGTTCTGGGATATAGACAGTGATGATTGTATTAGATACACTTCTGCAAAATTTTAAGTTGCAGAAATTTAATTATTTTAGAAGCTTTTCTTTAGTAGTGTGTTAAGTAATGAATTCCCTATGAGAAGAACTGTAAATACCAAGCACCCTGTGTTTTTCTTTCATCTTTCTGCTATGCTTTAGCCAGTTGTGAAGGAGGGAGGAGAACTGGATGAGCAGCTTGAGCGAGACCGCCTTCGGAAGGTTTTGAAGCGTATGGGAAAACTAAAATGTACGAGGGAGGTAAGTTGCATTGTGCTGAATATCCTGAATTAAACAGCAGCGGATGCATGAACATAAAATATTACGAGAGTTCTGCTGGGTATGCTTTGATGCTGGCCAAAGCTGAATTTGTTTCAAGATCCTAGCTATGCATTTAAGACAGAGTACCAATGAATCATAGCGTAGTTTGGGTTGGAAGGGATCTTTAAAGATCATCTAGTCCAACCCTCCTGCAATGAGCAACTTCAACTAGATCAGGTTGCTCAGAGCCCTATCCAGCCCTATCTCTTCCATGATCTTCCCAGGCACAGAGGTAGGGCTGGCAGGCCAGTAGTTCTCAGAGTCCTCCTTTCTACTCTTTTTAAAAGTGGATGCGATGTTTCCCATTTTCCAGTTGGTGGGAACTTTACCTGGCTGCCATGATTTTTCAAGTATCATGGAGAGTAGCTTGGCAACTACATCAGCCAATTCCCTCAGGACTCTAGGATGAATCTCATCAGGTGCCATAGGCTTCTTTATATTCAGGTTCCTCAGATGGTCTCAAACCTGATCTTCTCTTACAGTGGGAGAGACTTTGCTGTCCCAGTCCTTGCCTTAAGGTCCATCCACTCAGGAGGTGTGGGAAGAGAGACTTCTAGGGAAGACTATGGCAAAGAAGTTGTTGAGTACCTCAGCCTTCTCCTTGTCTGTTGTTACCAGTTTGCCAGTCATGTTCATCAGAGGAGTACTCTTTCTTTGACCTTTCCTGGCTGACATACTGTCCTGGTTCCAGCTGGGACAGAGTCAGCTCTTCTTTTTAGCAGCCAGAAGAACTCTGTGTTTTGGCTTTAGTCTAGGACTTGCTCTGAGCAGAACGCTGACAGCCACTGATGTTTTTAGTTGGCACTGAGGCTTCAAGGACTTTTCAGCTGCCGTGTTCTTGCCAGCGTGCAGGAGCACAACGGGATAGGGGGAGCATGGCCGGGACAGAGGGTCCACGACTCTCCTTATGATTTGTACTTGGACTTAGGATTGAGGGCCAAATTGGCCAGTTAGTTTTCCATATCGTGCAGCGTCATGCCCAGTATAAAATGAGGGTCAGCCGGAAAGAAGAGCCTTTTGCTCTTCTGGGATTCTCACTTCCGGACTCTCAGAGGTGCTATCTCTCTCTCTGGGCCTCTCACTCGTCTGGGATTGCGGTGTCGGGACTTATCTGTTTCGGGATCGTTAGTCTGGGACAAGACAGGCCTTGGTCAAGGGGTGGTGAGCAATCACAATGTGCATTGCTTGTTTATATATGTTTATCATTGTACGTATATATATATATTTATATATTAGTAGCAGTAGTATTAAAATGCTCTTATCTCAACCCATGGGTCTCCCTGTCTCTTTTCTCCTTTAATTCCATTCCTCATCCTCGGGGGGTGGGGGAAGGTGAGTGAGTGGCTGTGTGGAGTTTAGTTGCTGGAGCAGCCTAAACCACGACACATACCAATAGTAGCCCTTCTTACTATTCTTTGTGTTGCTTGCCAAGCTCCAGCCATGCTTTGTCCTTCTTGACCCTATCTCTACACAACCAGGCAGCATCCCTATACTCTTGCCAGGATACCTGTCTGTGCTTCCACTGCCTGTGCATTTCCTTCTTCCCCTTTAGTTTGGCCAGCAGCTCTTGACTCAGCCGTGCCAGTCTCTTGCCTTCCTTTCCTGATTTTTTTATGCATGGGGATCAAGAGCTCTTGCGCTCTCTGGAAATCATCCTTAAAGACCTGCCAGCTCTGTTCTGCTCCCTTGTCCCTGAGGGCAGTTTCCCAGGGGGCCTGTTGATAGTCCTTGAACAGCTGCAAGCTTGCTTTCCTAAAATTCAGAGTCCTGACTTTACTCTTCGCCTGTCCCATATCTCTCAGGACCGTGAACTCCACCAGTGCATGATCACTGCAACCCAGCTGTCTCCAATCGTGATGTATCTGATTTAACTCGCTTGCTTTGGTGACCAGCAGGTCCAGTAACGCATCCATTCTGGTAGGGCTGTTTCCTGGTTTAAGAAGTTATCCTCAATTTGCATCCATTCTGGTAGGGCTGTCTGTTTCCTGGTTTAAGAAGTTATCCTCAATTCACTCCAGGAGTCTCCTGGATTACCTACAACTTGCCATGCTACTTCTCCAGCAGACGTCGGGGTAGTTAACGTTCCCCAGCGGGACAAGAGCCAGCGAGTGCCATGCCTCCTGTAGCTGGAGTAAGAAGGCTTCGTCAATAGGCTCCCCTTGATCCTGCAGCCTGTAGTGAACACTGACCACAAAGTTCCCTTGTTGTCTTGATCTCTAATTCTTATCGATAAGCTTTCAACCTGCTTGTGGCTATTCTTCAGACACAGCTCTTCCCAATCTATCCATTTTTTGACATAGAGGACAACCTCTCCACCCCTCCTTCCTCACTTGTCCCTTCTGAACAGCTTGTAGCTATTGATAGCAGTGCTCCAGTCATGGGATTTGTCCCACCAAGTTTCAGTAATGGCAACTAGGTCATAACTTTCTCACAGCATGGTGGCTTCCAGCTCCTCCTGTTTGTTACCCATGCTGCGTGCATTGGTGTAGAGGCATTTCAGCTGGGCTGTCAGCCGTGTCACTTTTTTAGAGGAACACACCTTAATTCCTTTGAGATATTTCACTGGTGTTTCCCTGTTGGGTCCTATTACCTCAGGAGCCCCTGACAGCTCTGTAAGACTTCAAACGTGCTCCAGTGTATCCAGCACATCTCAGAGCAACGGGCAGAGGGCCCTTGCTGGCACCCTGTCCCTCAAGCCTTGGTGTGTCGTCCCATGGCTTGTCACAGGCAAGCCTGATGTTATCCCCTTCCTCCTTCAAGTCTAGTAGTCTTTTGAGGGACTTTGGTGGGATGGTGTGTTACCCAGAAAGCAGCAGGATGCCTGGAGAATATCCTCTAAAGGCTTGTGAAGCACTGAGCATGGAGAGTGAATTTCGAGATGACTGATACTTGGTTAGAACCTCGTAACTAAACAAAGTAAGAGTCTGCTGAACACTATGTAGGTCAACTAAGAAGTTTTAGGGCTTCACACGTGACTTGTTAGGTGACATTCTCTTGCTTACACTAGAAAGGAGCTCACCTTCAGTTACTGTCCGATCCCCATTCAAACTCTTTAGAGAGGATAACTAGGGTGGTTAAAATAGAGGGGTTTTTTTGATTACAGTTTTTGTAACTATAGATTCAACAGAGGTATGACTGTAAATGCATTCAGTGGAAGATGTCAGGGAGAGAGAAGTTAAAGGATAACTGTCTTACCTTGCAACAGTATTATAAACACACAATTACACAGTTGTTAAGGCTGGAAGGGAACTTCTGAGCTCATCTAGTTCCACCCCTGTGCTCAAGCAGGGTCAGGTAGACGTCTTTGAATATTTGATGTTTTGCTTTCTTCAAGGGGAATCAAGAGGACACTGGATTGTTTCTTCTATGCATCAAAAGTATTCTATTAATACGTACGTCTGCTCTTTCATTAATTGTTTGTGATAGCTGGAAAGATGTTTTTATGCATAATTAACTGTGTGAGCTTGTCTGTGATTTCGAAAATACCAAGATTGGCCACAGCTAGAGAAGAGGATGGAGAGCAAATGGATACATCTAAGAACATTAAAAACTTGCTGATGCATGTTTGAGTGGTCCATCCTTCAAATCTGCATCTCTCCAGTTTAGAGACAAGGATGTTGTATGGGACGGTGTCAGATGCTTTGCATAAGTCCAGGTAGATGACATCTGTTGCTCTTCCCTTATCCACCAATGCTGTAACGCCGTCGTAGAAGGCCACCAAATTTGTAAGGCACTATTTGCCCTTAGTGAAGCCATGTTGGCTGTCAACAGTCACCTCCTTATTTTCCATCTGCCTAAGCATGGTTTCCAGGAGGATCTGCTGTTTCCCTTTTTCCAGTTGGTGGAAACTTCACTGGACTGTCCTGACTTCTCAAATATGATGAATAGTGGTTTAGTAACTTCATCTGCCAGTTTCCTCAGGGCTCACAGATGCATCTCATCAGGTCCCGTGAACTTGTGCACCTTTAGGTTCCTCACATGGTCTCGAACCTGATCTTCTCCAGTGGGTTGTTCTTTGTTCTCCCACTCCCTGCCTTTGCTTCTGTGACTTGGGTGGTGTGGCTAGAGCACTTGCCAGTGAAGACTGAGGCAAAAAAGTAATTGAGAACCTCAGCCTTCTCCATATCCTGGCTAACCAGGTTTCCTTCTGGAGAGGGCCCACGTTTTCCCTAGTCCTCCTTTTATCACTGACATACCTATAGCAGCTTTTCTTGTTGCCCTTGATGTCCCTGGCCAGGTTTAACTCTTTTGGGGCTTTAGCTTTCCTAACCTGACCCCTAGTTGGTCGGACAATTTCTCTATATTCCTCCCAGGCCACCTGTCCTTGCTTCCACCCTCTGCAGTCTTCTTTTTTTTTTGAGTTGGTCCAGGAGCTCCATGTTCATCCATGCAGTCCTCCTGGTGTTTTTGCCTGACTGTGTCTTTGTTGGAATGCACCATTCCTGAGCTTGGAGGAGATTATCCTTGAATATTAGCCACCTTTCTTGGGCCCCTCTTCCCTCCAGATCCCTGAGGAGGCCGAAGTCTGCTCTCCTGAAACCCAGGGTAGTGAGCTTGCTGTGCGCCCTTCTCACCACCCTAATGATCTTGAACTCCACCATTTCATGGTCACTGCAGCCGAGGCTGTCCTTGAGCTTCACATATTTCACCAGCTCCTCCTTGTTGGTGAGAAAAAAGTCCAGCATGGCACCTCTCCTCCTTGGTTCCTCTGTCACTTGGAGAAGGAAGTTATCATCAGTGAATTCCAGGAACCTCCTGGATTGCTTATGCCCTGCTGTGTTGTTCCTCCAACAGATATCGGAGTGGTTGGAATCCCTCAGGAGGACTAAGGCTCATGAACGTGAGGCTACTCCTATCTGTCTGTAGAGGGCCTCATCTACACATCTTCCTGGTCAGGCGGCCTGTAGCAGACCCCCACTACAATGTCAGCTATCCCTGCCCTTCCTTTAACCCTGACTCACAGGCTCTCATTTGGCTCCTCATCCATCCCCAGGTGCAGCTCCGTGCACTCCAGCTGCTCTTTGACATAGAGGGCAACACCTTCTCCTCATCTCCCCTGCCTGTGCTTCCTGAGGAGCCTGTATCCTTCCATTCTGACACTCCAGTCGTACGATTCATCCCACCACATCTCCATGATGCCAATAAGATCATATCCCTGCAGGCATGTGCACACCTCGAACTGCTCTTGTTCCTTCCCCATGCTGTGTGGTTTGCATAGAGGCATTTACATTGGGCCTCACATGAATCTGACTTACTGGCTGGAGTGGCTGGAATTCCTCTCTGCTGCTCTTCAGGTGCTCTCAGCTTGTCTTGATCAAAGCTGATACTATCCCCCTCCCCCTTCAAGTTTTTGTTGTCGTCCGCTGCAGCTTGAGACATTAGCTGTATTCTAGGAGTAGCTGAAAGTTTTATTTACCATCACCCTAATGTTGCTGCATTCTAGGCAGTTTGACCTGCCGAGCAAGTATAAAACCTTCCTCTTTTTCTGCCCAAGTCCTCCATTTGTATTTGAAAATCTTTGTTTTGTGCATCCTTATTTAGCATCTTGCTTCTTCGTTCCGTATATTGAAATTTTCTGTTGGCCACTACCTACAAAGAAGTTCTAAGAAACAGTTTCTCTGAGTTGCAGCCAGTTTTTTGTCCCAGGTTTTGTCTATCTGAATTGACTAATATTAAAGTTCACTACCTGATTGTCTCTGGTCTGGCAGGAGAAGTGATAGTACTTTGGTCAGCAAACTGTAGATTCTCTGCACAGTGGTCTTATGATGTGGAGAGCGTTTTTCTTCCATGCATTTTTCTTCTGCATTGACAGGGCTGCACAGGCAGCTTCACTAGCATAATGGGATATCTGTATCATGTTAAAAAATGTGGGAAGGCTGCTTCTGAGCTGGAGAAAATGGCTATGAAGTGCCATCACTGTGGAAAAGCATACAAATCAAAGGCAGGACTCGTCTACCATCTCCGATCTAAGCATGGGCCGGTAAGTGCAAATTGCCATCGTTATCAAGATAGTGGGGTGGTGCTTCAACCACTGGGATGTGGGACGCGTAGGTTTTTGTCTCTTACTTGGGTGGGTAATTAGAAAGAGCAAAGCTTTGCATTTTTCTGTCTCTATTGAGTATTCTGGCCTTGATACTTTCCTACTAGCAGCAGCTGTTGCTGTTCTTTGACTAAGATTAAGTTTTTAGTAGTAAATCACCATGGCAGCAGTAAACTTCCCCCATCCTGACTTTTGCTTCATGGAAGAATGATGCTGTCATGTATCGTTTGAGATACTTTTCTTTGGTCTTAAAAGACCCAACATTGGAGCAGGACAGGCAGTACTGTGCTTGTTGTCCCTCAGGGTTTTACAGCGAATGATGTCATATCCTTTCAAGACCAGTGGCTGCGTGAAACTCTCTGCCTGAGCCTTACTGCTGTGACCTCCCTGAGCAGATCTGGGCATCTGTCTAACCAGCAGGGTGCATGTCTGTCCTGTGTCTGTGACAGTGAACCACAGCTGCAGCAGCATTTTTGGGGGGGATTTGGCAGAATATTTATTCACAGTATTTAGTGTAACTGAAACAGGAATAGTGAAGGAGGCCTGCCATTTTTGGCCTTCATTGCAGGTCACTTTCCTCCATGAAGAGAGAAGAACAGAGAGCCTGAAGGAAATAAAACGGGAGCAAAACAACACAGGCAGAGTTCAGAGGAGGTCTGCAAAAGTGGCAATCTACTATCTGCATGAGCTAGCTGGAGAAGAGCTGGCCAAAGAGTGGCCCAAGAGAAAAGTTCTGCAGGACTTGATTCCAGACGACCGGAAGGTACAAGACCTTAAAAATGCTATATAGAGTTTGAGTCTTGCGCTGGCATCTACCCAGCGTTGCCAGTGCTTGGTGGCCCATGGAAATCAATAATGAAGAAGTAGTATCTTGTGGGAGGGATCAGGTTGTGCTCTCTCTGGTCTTAGGTGATGGTATTGCTGCAGTAGCAATTGCTGTGGTATAAGTATTTTATCCAGAAAGGCTATAACCATTTTCAAGCCCTATAGTTGTAATTTTCAGTGGGCACAAGTAACGAAGGCAATTATAGGCAATATGTTGCTTGCAAGTTATAGGCTACAGATCACTGCTGCCATGCAGTGATGTTTCAGTCGTTGAGGCTTCAGAGTTTCCAGGAGCATCTTTTAGGCTGGAAGGGAGACCCAATGGAAAAGGATAATTTAGGATTTTAATGGGGTAAGTACGTTTAGAGGAATTGTTGTAGTCAGAGTTCTGGGAAGTTTTGGATTCTGGTATTATGGGGGTTTTCCAGATTCAGTTATGTTTGTAGAGAGTCAGTGAGATGCAAACAGATTGGTTATTGAGAGTTTGGCTCTTAGAGTAGGAGAAGAAATAGCACTTCTGTCTCACAACCTGGAAGAGAAAGAGATGTGCTTGGCACTATGTGTAACCAACATTGCTTCCAGCTTTCAATTCCATGTCTTTATCTAGCTGAAATATACTCGCCCTGGACTACCCACGTTTAGTCAAGATGTGCTGTGCAAATGGAAAACGGAGATAAAGATGTACCGAAGAGTCCACTGCCCAAATGAGGTAATCCTTAAGTGTTTCTGAAGCCTCAGAGGGGACAGATTTCAGGTCTGTATGAGCCAACAGCTTTCCACAACCTTGAAACTGCAGTTTATCTCTCTGTGGGAGACAAATTCTGCTCCATCTCAGTATGGTTGGTTAGTGTAACCAAGACCCTCTTTGGACTGTTGCCCTAGGGTGATCCCTCTGGGGATGTGTTTGTCCACTTCAGACCCAGTAACTCGGTGTCAGACTGGCACAACTTTCTCATCCAACTGGGATGCTGGTCCATTTGGAGATTTTAGCAGTGGAAAAATGACAGGCCCCTGCCTGTCTAGCAGGTGTACTAAATCTAATTATCAAAGGAGGAGTAGAGGTAAATGTAACAGTAGAGGGACTTTGTCTGGAACAGCACTTAAGATTTTGTAGATTCATAGATTTCTAGGTTGGAAAAGACCTTAGAGATCATCGAGTCCAACCGTCCCTAATGCCCATTAAACCATATCCCGAAGTAGTTCATCCACCCTATTCTTAACCACATCCAGGGATGGGGACTCAACCACCTCCCTGGGCAGCTTATTCCAGTGGCTGACAACCCTTTCAGAGAAGAAATACTTCCTAACATCCAACCTGAATCTCCCCTGACTAAGCTTATACCCATTTCCTCTTGTTCTATCACCCGTCACTAATGTAAAGAGCCCCACCTCCCCCCCACCCCTTCTCAAGTATTTATAGGCCGTAATCAGGTCTCCCCTCAGCCTCCTCTTCTCCAGGCTAAACAGCCCCAACTCCCTCAGACGCTCCTCATAAGTTTTATTTTCCAGCTCCTTGACCAGTTTAGTCACCCTTCTTTGGACTCGCTCCAGGAGCTCAATATCTCTCTTAAAGCGAGGGGCCCAAAACTGGGCACAATATTCCAGGTGCCGCGTCACCAGTGCCGAGTACAGGGGCAGGAT